CATTCACAATGGCTGAAGAAGTTCAGGATACAAGTCTACAGCCCATATGATAAAAGTCAGAACTCTCTTAACCAACCCACCTAACTCCCACCAGCCCGCAACCCCCCCCCCCCCCCCAAAAAAAAAAAAAAAAAAAAAAGATTGACTAATGCAGTGGCAGAGAGACAGCAGGATACAAAAAGCCCAATTGAACAGCATGGTTCACACAAACACTCTGGACACATTTTTTTTTGAGAGAACTGCAGACCATCCATTGGGGTACTTGTTGCCCTAAGAGTACAATTCTATATAACAAAGAAATAAGACATCAATGCTTTTATCAGATGAGGACATGAACTCAGTTACTTGCTGAATCTCAGTCAATTTATACGACCTACAATTCCTCTACATGAGGCCATGTGGCTTGCTTCTGGCTCAGAGTGACCTCCATTAGTACCAAGGGTATGCAACAACATATAACTACCATTGCTTCTAATCACAAATCAACAGAAAGGACAGAAACAGTCTAGAGTCAAGCTGCTTTCCCTGACCTAGTAGGAAATAACAGCATCTCATCTACTCCTGAGGTAAAGAGTATTAAAGGCTTTCAAAACATTCACAGCAAGATGAGCATGTTATTGCAGAACAGAAAATCTGAAAGTGGCGCCATGCTGGATAACACATTCAAAGGAACTGGAACTTGAGATTCTTCCTACAAATATTGTGCATTTTACCCTAATACAAGCTCCTTTTCAGGAAATTAAATACTTCGCAGATGTCACACAATTCAACAAAATTTACTTAACATTGCCATTTAAATACTTTTTTCCCGTATTCTTTTCTTTGGTCTAGTACGCAGCAATCACAGTTTGCAAAACACTATTGATACAGAATTGTTAACAATTGCAAGCCACAGTGTCACAGCTTCCTCCATGTTTTCAAGGACATAGTATGGTCTCACATTAAGTGAAGAGGAATCTGTAAGCCAACTTCAGTGTCTTAACCTGTATCAGCTTTTACCCAGGACTCCAGCTGTTCTCTGTCTTCTTGCTAAGAGCTGTGAAAGAGCAAGAGGGCCAGAGGAAACCAAAGTCAGATTTCTCACGGGGAGCAGAGACTGATTAAAATGCCAGGATCAATTGTTTTCAAGTGTGACAATTTCATATAAGAGCTGCTCAGAATTATCTACAATTTTGAAAAGGAAAAATATATCAGATTCCACAGTCAAGATACAAAAGTTCGTACCTGCATGCTTTCACATTTAACAACTGTTGCAAATTTTCCTTTCTTTTTCCCCTAAAAATGTATTAGACATCAGCTTTTTTTTTTTTTTTCCAAATTCAGTGAGTAAAAGGGAGCAACATAGGCTGAATTCTAATACCAGGAGTAGGAGCTATAACTAGGCTTCAGTGTACTGCAGTAGTGTGATGTATCTCATTTGATGTGTACTTGCTAAATCTCAAGTTTTAATATGTGCTTGAATCCAACCAATTGGTGTAAAACACACTTACTATTTGGCTATCAAGAATGTGTAACATTGCAGTATTTCATCAGAATGCACCTAGAAAAAAATATGAAACCAGGATACATCGTCTCTCTACTCTTTCAACTAGTAGCAGAAAAAAGAAAAACAAACAAATTTCTACATTAAAAAAATCAATTCTGAAGAAAGTGATTTTACTCCACTATGTAGCGACTAACATACTTCATATGCAATTCTAGTTCCTCAGTACAAAAAAGTTTTATGTGCCCTGCCAAAATTAAAGAATATCTATTTACTCTCTTATTATAAAGAAACCAATCTCCCCTTCACTTAGATAATGTTTCCCCAATTTATTTATGATCAGAAGAGCTTTGTATCTTTGAAATCATTCATTTGCCAAATAATTATAGAAAAAGACTGTATAGTTGATTTAAAGTTAAATTTAGGTACAGTCATGTAAAGAGAAGGATGTGCTCCTGTCCATGCACAGAAGCACAGGAGATTTTTCCTTACTCTCCAATATTCATTCAACAATCTTGCTAAGATTAGACCAATTCTTCATTAGTTTGGCTATTTGGGAGCTGTCTTGCAGATATCTCTCCAGCTTGACCTCAAGTTCTCTTTCTTTCTTCCATTAAGCTTTTACTCATCTCATATCTCCCCACAAATGCATGTCAAAGCTAAGATTTATCCCTCCTCTGATAACAATTTTTCACCACCCAATGGAACTCTCTGCTTTTAATATTACTTCGGAAAGTCATATTTCCAACATGCTCCATCTTGCATAAGGTACAAGTCATTACAGAGATTCTGCAGACACAATTCCTGTAGTGTTTCCTGGAAAAGCATCTCGACAAGTGATTCGTACAGGTGTTTCCAAAGATTCACCAAGAAAATACCTGTTAGTGACAAAAGCTGTATTAATATCAGTATTAAACATATGAATATCTCTCAGAAGATATTAGTCCAAGCCAGAATTCTTAAATGAAAACAGCTCTGATTAGACTGTTATAAAACTCTGAAAATGTTAACATAAAAAGAGCATCGACATTCGTTTCAAAATGATTTCATACCTCAAACCATGAAAAAAATGTGAAGCAATTTTATTTAAATATAGTTACTAGCTTGTAACACCATTTCAAAAACAATTTGAGTCAGACTACTTTTTTTTTCCTTTCTTTAGGTAAAAATGTTTTATACAAGTCCATAGCAAGAAAATCTCTCATTAGAACTACATTCCTAAAACTCAACACAGAAAATTCTCATAAGTTGTATCTGTATTTCAAGCAAAATAAGTCCACAAATCTACTTATTCACAGCTTAAGAGGCACAGACTACCTCATGTTCTGCTTGCAAAAGTTGAAGTTTGTCACAGGTTTGTCTTGGAAACAGTCAAGAGCAGTCAAAAAAACAGCATCAGAAAGTAAGCTAGTAGGTAGTGTGGATCACTAGGATCCAGTGCTCATTCTCCACATTCTTTGTTTTGCTATACAGATGTAGCCTCACAAAGTTCAAGACCTTGCCTTTGCTGTTGCTTTTGGCAAAATATCTTTTGCACAACTTCTGCAGATCTGTCTGGTAATGATAACTTCTTCTCAAAGGCTGAATAAATTGATGCTCCTCCCATGTATGTAAACCAGATAACATTATGATTGGAAACAATTGTATTTGTGAGTTTGATTAAAATTTTAAAATACATCATCATGCTGTTTTTAAGTATGGAAATCAATGAGTATGGATTTATGAATTCATGTTTTTCAGAACAAGTTGATGCAAATAGTTTTTACATACTCAATCACTGATTCTTCAAATCCTAAAGAACAGGCAGAGCTTTCAAAATACATTATTGCAGTTGAAACCATAACAGAAAAGAATAATAAAACGTACTAAGACAACATCTCCTATCAAAGAGACTTGCCCATTTTTTGCTTATTCTGTCTTTCCAGTTTCTTAGCACCACTGAAGAGAAGACCTGGTCATGGACATTGGCTTCACTGTTTTCCAAACAAAATCAACGTTCTTAAATATACTTAATTTGCCTACAGTAAACTTCACACACATTTGGTATTTTCAAAATGATGCAACTTTTCACACGTCAGACTGCTAAATCTGACTGCAGTTATCTAAATTTAGTGATTTAGTTCATAGCAGGAATGACCAGAAGACCAGAAGAACTCTAAGAGACTGCTTTGGTACGCTGATAATAGGATTCTCATTTAATGCACAGTCTATTCGAAAAGAAAACCCACTCTGTTTTTTAAAACAATGCTGTGGCTGCAGATTAAAATGAACAGCTGTTATAAGTGGTCTCAGTGATAATTCCGGAAGTAAAGCATCTAACACCCAATGCATCATATCTGCACTTATTTACTTGCTAGCATAATTTAGCAGAACTGACCACAGTGATTTACAGTTTTTTGGGAAATGGTCTCCAGTTTAAATCCAACAAACTACACAAGCCTTCTGGTGTATCAACTGATAGCTGAGAACTTCCACATTGTGCAGCTTGTGTTCTAAGTTTCCAAACATTTTTAAAATTGCTAATTAGTTGCATTATAATTCTCAAGGATCCATTAAGGCAACAAAACATTCAGTGCTTGCTAAGGTTTGACTAATCTGTCTAAACAGAATTATGTATAAGCATTCAGAAATTTAGCAGAATTAACTGAACCACTTAATTTATAGCACCAACACACGTATCAAATACAATTCTGTCTTTACAAAACTATCTCATATGTACCATATCAATCAATTCAACCATCAAAATAAAGCTTAAAAGGGGCTTGCAAGGAGCATCAGTCTTGTGGTGCTTTTCTAAAAGAAGTAGTGGAAATTCAACTGTTTTTCATAATCACATGAGATTCAAAGATATAGCTTAGGTTTAAAAGTACAGTTAGATATACAATTTTTTTCAAGCATCAATGATAACTGGAAATAATATAACTATATGAAGCAATAAATACAGAGTTTAAAGTACGGAAAATTTAGAAACCACAATTCAACAGGTTACGTGTGTGTACCTATATACATATTTATGCTGTTTTATTTTCTTGGGAAAATACCCATGTGCTTTTTTTTTTTTTTCTTAAATTACTTTCATGTACCTTCTCAAGTGTTTCTATTTCCACAATATAAATATTCATCAAAAGAGAATATTCACCTAAAATTATTTAGAAAATGTCTTTTGAAACTGAATTTTTTCTCCCTTTCAATGTTCTAGTGATACTCATAAAAAAACATAAAAGGCAAATTTGTTAATTTTGGCCTTTAGCAACTTTGAAAAAGAAAAAAAAGTCAATTGCTATTCAGAACTTCACTTAACAATGAGCTGAAAAATCGTAACGTTGCACTAAATGCTAGCCTAAAGCCTAAACTTGAAGCCCAATCCCGCTTGCTTCTGAGAAATAGGACATTTACATCTACTTGAATAGACAGGATTAGAACAAAAATCAATTCAGAATGAATAAAAATTAAACACACAAGTAGTTGTGTTAACTAAAAAAATGGATGCTCGGTAAAAAGAAAGCAAGGCAAAGAATAGAATAGTGCACTGTGGTTTTATTGGTGGCAGCAAAGACAATTTGCTTCTTTCATATGTAAAAAGTATTCAGCTTCATTTAACTAAGAATTTAAAAAAGTCTCCTGTGGTATCAAGTTCAAATTTCTTCTGCTTATATCAGCTTTTTTTTTGTCTCATCCTGTTGCTTGGAAAAAGCCAGAAGTTCTTCTAGAAGTCTTCATCAAGTTGGAGCTGCCAGTGAATTTTCCTTCAACACAAGAAGATCACTACATGAAAAAGAAAAAAAGAAAAGACAACAATAGATAACAATAGATAAGCCCCAAAACAGTTTGTACAACTTTACTGCTGTTCCTTTTTTTTTTCCCCCTCCTCCAAAAGCCTACTCATCTGCTTTTCTGTACCTACATGTCTTTAGAAAATTAAGTCAGAAGACTGCACCTCAGTGCTATATATATATATGCATATACATCTATACGTATACATATATTATATATGATTGGTTTAACACAAGGATAGAACATTTGCTGGCAATGTTTTTTACAAAATTAAATTTTCCATTAGTATAGACTTCACATTTTGTAGCAAGTTTGAGAAGGTGTAGATTAATTCTGTCACTTAGCAAAAGAAGACCCGAGGTAGTGACCAAGCACTCATAGCTTCACACTCTTAGTTTTTTTTCTAGCTACTCCAAAAGCCACGGCTCTTCAAAACACACATTTCTGATTACTTATTTTCCTTCTATTTCATGTTACCATGACATTCTACCCAGGATACAGAAGTATTTTATTACTGCTAGCCTTCAAGTCCCATATTTTTATACTCTAAGAGGAATATCTTAATTTTCAGATCTTCTGAAACCAGCGTTTAGCTACTTTGACCCTAAACAATATAGAATGAATTCAAAGGATCTCAATGCAGTATTCTGAGAAAGTCCTGAACTACTGTCCTATATCTCACTACTGGATATTAATAAAACTCCATTTCTAGGCCAATTGTACCACTCTGAGGTATTGACCTGAATACTCCATTGCTGTCTACATATTAACCAGCAAGACAGGACTTTCCTGCATGTCTGCAGCAACTGTTCTTGAGAAGCACATGAACTCCATTTAAAAACAACAACAACAACACAAAATCCACTAATTGAGGAAGTGATACATTGTTGGACCAGTGCTAATGAGCCCATCCTCTGAAGTGGTAAAACATCGTACAGGTTAGTTTGGGTGTGAGATGATATGTCTACTATATGAAGCATATGCTTTATCTTCCTTCTGTCTCTATCAAAGTTATTATAAATATGGCCATCAAATTTTGCTTCTACAATTGCCTGATATATTTCTGAAAATAGGGCACACCTTCGCATTTTTAAATAGTAAGTATTACAATATTAAAATTCTATACAATATTAAAATTCTACACAATTTACCAATTTATAATATATACATCAACAAAGGCTCTACATCTCTTTTCAGGAAAAATGATTTAAGTTATTTATTTTACAAAATACTGAAGTATAAGGGATATAAAGCCTCTTCTCTCAGGGCTTAGTGATGTCACAATTAATGGTCCAGCAAAGCATTTTTCAGTGAAAAGCTGTAGTAAAATTAAATCTCACTAAATTCCTTAAAAACTTCCCCTGCTATATCATGTCTTCATCAAACAGGTTATCTAAAGCTTTTAGAAATATGTATATGTCATTCTCTCAGAAGCTCAGGATTAAAAGGACGAAAAAACACAGAAATCCGTTTCCATGAAGTGACATTCAATATTCTTGAGCTTTTCACTTAACATTGTTGTAAAGGTTTATATGAACTGGAAACAAACCAGAAAGAACTATGTTTGATATTCTTCCTACATTTAAAATGAGAGGAACCAACTTCACCTTCCATTTAATTTTGGTGAAGTTTAATAGATTTCTATTACTGGTTTCTCTCTAGCTCCACAGTCTTGAACGATTTCATTTGGTCACGTTATGCACTTCTAAATTCTACATAATGTTAGAATATATACAAGCACGAGATGTACTATGGATAACCGTAAACCACATCTGATAAATGTAATTACCACTCTGTCAGGCTGAAAGTTTCCTGACATCGCTTTATCTACCAAAATAGGCAAATGAGATCAGCTTATTTTCATTTTCATAGCAAGGTGCAATCAAACCCACAGAGAGCAAATACCTTTGTCTTATAAGACTTAGAAGCATACAATCACAAGGTTGGAAAGGATCTGTAAGATCATCTAATTCCAACCATCCACCCATTACCATTGCTACCACAAACTTGTTCCCTACTCTCCAACAAATCTTTCACTCTTCTTGAGATACAAGAGTAATTATCATTTGGGATGCCTGTCTTGTTCTTCCTCCCTCCTCACAAAAACCAAATGCAGCCTTCCAAACTTCTACTGTGCAATTTGAAAGTATCAAAAATATTACCTAAACACACACACACAAAAAAGTTTTGACAGTCCTCTATACTGAGCATATTCCATTAGGCTGATCACACTGACATCTCCCTGAGATGACAGAGTTAGTTTAGAACACAGCTCACTGCATATACCCAAATTATTTCTGCATATTTTATAATTATTTCATGAAATGCTTATCGATAGTGATTGATAAAATAGAAAATATTAGGCTACGGACAAAATACAAAATAATTATCACCTTGGAAAGAGTCAAGAGTAAATTTTTTCTCCTTGTACTGAGAGTAGTCCCCCAGACAAAAGTAGTATGTTGGAATATGGTTAAAAAAGCAAAATCATATTTATTGCATTTCAAACAAACGAAAAACTGCAGAAAAAAACGAAAAATTAGAAGCAAAACAAAGACATTGTAGATATCAACCATTACAACTTTGCAATGATCTGTTTATTTGGATTAGACCTTTAATGAAAATTTGAAAATTAATGATTTAGAAAATTCAAAGGTAAAATGAATGCAGTACAGCATATTTGATTTGCTCAGTGGTTTTTTTTTTCAAAGAGGGAAAAAAGTCCCTTTTTTTTTTTTTTTTTTTTTTTTTAGGAATGTCACATTTTATATTTGCTTGTGTTATAGAAACTACAGTATCTTATTTGTTCAATATACTCATAGCCAACTAACCAGCGTTGAGGGCTGTTACACAAACCAACTAATAGCAAATCTGTAGAAAGATCTTTCATAGAACTCACAAAGACAGAAAAACACTTAAGTACTTAAAAATTCAGGTCTTCTATTCTTGAAATAAAAATCCATTAATGAAATGTCAATATGTTATATTTACCATTTAATTCTTATTAATCAGTTTCTAGCTCTTGGGGGCTGATAAAATTGTTGAGTAGGTCGTGTGGACCGCCTTGGTTGACCATCACCTCCTCTGCGGAATTCTAGAGTTTGCTCATATGTTTCTTCTTCATCCTCCTGTAGGTAAATAGCATTGTTTTAAATGTATGAGTAGGTATGTGAGTTATATATACATATACACACGTTTACAAATGTACACACATAAATAAAAGTATGCATGCATAGGAACTGCTGCTTCTGTGTGGTTGAACACTTTACAAAAGAAGTGAATAGCCCCTTAAAAAAAAAAACAACCCTAGGAAATCCAGCAAAAAAAAAAAAAAAAAAAAAAGAAGAATCTCAAAATTCAGTCCTCAAGGCAGCAGCAGAAGTCACTAAATATTTGCAGGAAGAAAAAACCACATATATTAGAGCAGAAATTATTCTCCAAGAGTTGTACAGACAAACTCAATAAGAAAAATAAATTTAGTAACCTGCCAGAGGAAGAAAAATATCTGTTCAGGGGAGTTTAGAAATGTGTTTGAAATTAAATAAGAATTAAGGAATGGAAAGGCAAGGAACAAAGTCTAGCAATATGCATCCTCAAAACACAGATCTGAAGTAGCAGACACAAATCTATGATGAAATAATAATAATTAAAAAAAAGCTACAAGCATAGTGGACAGTAATTTAGATATGAATTTGCTACAAGCAGAAATAATAAATAGAACCAAGATGTATTATACATTTGTACACAATGCATTCACTTCTAGGAATCTCAATACCAGAAACACACTGACAAATTATGTGGTGTTCAAAGAAGAATAACAGAAATAACTGGTCTAGAGAAGATTTTCCAGAGCATCAGAACTTTTAACAAAGAGAAATGGAAAAGAAAAATAAAATTATGCACTGTTTGTAAATATATATATATATATATAGAATATAATTTATATATATTCAATATATATATATATAGAATATTCATTATATAATGAATATATAAATATATTCATTCTCGAGCAGGAGTTTCTCAAATAGTTTCTAAGGGTAGTAGCTATAATTTTTGATTTATTTATTAACTATCCTAAAACCAAACTCTAATAGGCACCAGGATTACTGGGAATGTGGTGGAAAAAACACTTCTGGGAAGAGTATTGAGTATATAATTCTTAATTTCCTTTCACTCACAATCTAAGAATACAGAGAAACATAGACTAAGAATATTTAGTAATTATGAATTCATCAACAACCTCAATATCAAGCAAAGGTAATAGAGTACAACATGCATATAATGCAGAAAAATATTTCATTATAAGAGGTTGAAAGAAAAATGTACAGCCTAGATTTCTTTATAAACAACACCACAATAAAAAAAAAAAAAAATAAAAAAAAAAAAAGAAAAACAACCAAGTCTTCCTCAAGAAATAACACCTCATGCTGAATCAACTTAAATGCTGGTAAACACACGTTATCCCTGACGGCCAGATCAGATATTTAAAAGACATGTCTATGGTCAATGCTGCATTTCAAGAACAGCTGTTTTTCCAAGTTAGAAAACACAGCTAGTGATTTCCCTACTACTGAAAGTCGGCAATAACTGTATAAGACAGAATTTCAACACAATCAAATAGAGAATAATGAAATAATTTTAGTGTCAGTGCAGCCACAGGCTGAGAACTATGGACTTTTTCCATACTTATTTTTTGCAGCACTGCTCCCACATACAAAGAGGCTCACGGAGACTAATTACCCAAAAGAAAGATATAGGAAAGTAGAGGTCTAACAACAACAACAAATCACACATTTTGCAGTAGTCATCTCCCATCACTGACAAGAAAAACTAAACTAGCATTAGGAGTTGAAAAGATAAGATAAAAGCATAAAGTTATGTTAACACCGCAAGTTCTCTCAAGATTCTTTCCAAAATCTTCAATCTAAATATAACAGATTATTCTTTAAGTGTAAAATGAAAATTGGATTTCAACAAAGCTGGAAGACTAAATGTCAAATGTACAACTGAAAATTAGAAATGCATACCAGTGTTTTGAAGAGTCTGCAGCAAATCAGACATTAGTCTTCCCTTTGTAACTTTCTTAGCCTACGGATCTCAAAAAGATCAGGATTTAAGTTGTTTAGTGCATTGTATCTCATCTCTAACAGCCTCTTTTTGAGGGTAAATATGCCATAGAAAATATCTACAGCAGCAAATCTCCATCGAACTTCAAAAACTATGCTGTTGATCCACTGAACTCATTAAGAACAAATTAAAACTACAATTTATCTCAAAAAATCGGCCATTTTGGTTTGGTTGTCTTTATTCACAGAATGAAATCTTCAGATGCATGTAGTTCATGTACTGTCATTACAATAGGTAAGAACAAAGCGTGAAACCACATTCTCTTTCTTGAGACACTGAAAAAAAATAATGAAAACAAGCACTGAAGCAAATTAAAAGAAAGAGCTAGCAACAGGATACCTTTCTATTCTCTCCTTCTCTATGTACAGAGTTCCCCATAGTTACTGACAGTTCTGTTGAAGTCCTTCATCATAGAATCACAGAATCCTCAGACTTGGAAAGGACCTTTAAAGGTCATCTAGTCCAACTCCCCCACAATGAGCCTACAGGTTGTTCAGAGCCTGGTCCAGCCTAGCCTTCAATGTCTCCAGGGGCGGGCATCCTCCACCTCTCTGGGCAACCTGTGCCAATACCTCACCACCCTCACCGTAAAAGACTTTTCCCATATATCCTTATACCATAGAGTCATCTGAGTTAGAAAGGACCTTAAAGGTCTAATCCAACCCTCCTACAACAAACAGGGACATTTACAGCTACAATCACAGCTGTGGAGCATAACTCACCTCACCTGCTTAACAAGCAAAATCAAGCCATACTTTTGCAATAAACACAATTACACTGTGGAGGCCAAAGGATTAAGCAAGTTTGAGGAAAGTCTAGGAAAACCCCAAGAGTATCAGTCCTTCCACAGTCATTAGAAACAGTAGTGTCAGTGGGACTTCTTATCCACAAATTCCCTAAAACACTGAGTGCTGGGAGCAGGAGCAGAACAATGTTCATTCCTACCCTCTTAGTCCAAGCGTGCACTGTGGACACAGTGTGCCACATAAGACGGATCTTTGTCTTGAGGCAGCATGGCTACTGCTGTGTTAACCTCTGAGATGTAATTACCATGCACACTGCAAGGTCCTGATACAAGGAAGGATTTTAAACAAAGCCACTGGGATCATTAATAGCTGAGCACCATTCAAACAATGTTGAGTGAGCTTTCCCGGCAAGAGAGGAAGAGCACACAGAGCAGTAGTCCCACTTTCAAGGGCCATCTGAGAGGCAGGTAACATTCCTGGAATGTAGCTATCTCTTCATAAGCAGCAGTAAAACCCACCAATAGGTGTAGCCAAGTAGTTGTTTATAATAGATCTTCCTTTTATTGGAGCTATCTGAACTTTTTCACTCACAAGATGAAATTTGCTCTGTGTTGAGACAAAACACCGCTAGTACTACTGACAAATTCAATCTACTTTCTTGCTCCAAGTAGTAACTAAACAAAATTATGAAATTGAATGGAACTCAGGATTTTTGTCAGATCAAGCAGCTTCACAGGAAAAATACCCTTTGATTCCAACCTACTGACTCTCATACTTCAACAAGTGCAGTTTGCTCAACAGTTTAGTCTATCAGCAGCCTCCTGCAGGAGCGAGGGTCCTCCTGCACTTTTCCACTCCAGAAACAGAGAAGGCAAGTGGGCACAATGGCTGCCAGATAGGTCCAACGCTGCTTATAAAGGATTCCATTAATATGGGTGAAAGAATAAGGAAAGAGTATTGCACCTACCATGAGGAACTGTCACATTTACCGAACAGGCTCAGTCACCACATAAAGGGTGACATCTTTATGTCAAATGACAATTTGACATCTGTTTCTTGCATTTTACCTATTCCTTTTATCCTGATCAGATCAAATATTTTCAAAAATCACATTTTGTCAAATCATATCTGCACTGAACAATGCTTGTTGTTTTACAAGTAATTTTATCTGTTATGTTCCACCATTTGTCAATTACTTACCCTCATCTACTACTGATGTCTCTTCCTTTCTTTTCTATTGCTATTTAATTCTACTTCCATCTTGTAGATTTCTGTGAGTCCATCTCCTTTATCTCAATTCACTGTAAAATCTCTCCAGATCATTCTCAAAACTGTCTTCCCCATTCTGGAACAGCATCTAACCTTTGTAGGCAAAACTTAAGTTCTCTAGTGTGTTCATCTTTGTGTCTTGTGTTCTTCCACCTAAAAATTTCACCCCTCTGCATATTATCCTACAGTCACTTAGGTCTCACATCTTGAAGCCTTATTAGCTGCTTGCTTTCAAATCAGTGACATTCTAAATTATACAATTTCCCACCAACTTACACATACAAGATCTGACTGCATTTTTTAAAGTTAGCCACAATCTCTGACACTTGCCACCTCCTTGGGGTATTTTTGTCCTATTAACAGTAGAAGTTTTACAATACAAAATTTATGATAAAATAAGTAAATTTTATCATCTCATTCTTTCAGCTTATTAAGTATTATTTATTGAAATACTCTGGAATCAGGGACTGAGTTTTCTAGTACTTGGCTATGTAGGTAGCCAACATGCAAGCAAAACTGTCTACGAGCACAATGGCAAAAAACACGGGCAATTGGCAGACACAGAAAAAAACAAAGTCTACAGTGCAAACAGTGAAACGCACAAAAAAATTATTGCAGTAACAGATTCGAAAAGCATCAGAGAGAGTGATGGATATGAGTATTATTTAGGTATTTAAAATGAGATAGCAAAGAAGGGAGCATAAATCACTGAGAATTTCAGCTTCTGTTCAAAGTTTTGCCATAAAAATCTGCTGATGCTTATGCTACTTTAATTCCCTCTCATAAGAAAGATGAGGACTTAACAAGTGTAAAATAGCAATATGTACACACTCAACGCTTTTTATTTTGGACCCATATATTCTCAAGAGCTTTTACTAGCACTGTACTTTATCAGCTAGGCTTACTTTTACATTGAAAATTCAATGGATTTCACAGCTGCAAAATGAAGCTGTAAATCCAGCACTTAATACACTTTAAAAACG